GAGTCTTCACATCAAGTATCAATGCTATCCCCTCTGTACACAGGGTAGATAGGGACGGGTAACGTAGACATTGGCTATTTAAAATGAGGGGGTGATAAAGGCAGGAAGTGACTTTCTTACAAGGGGGAGTTTAGTTTAAGAGTATGGGGGGAAAGAAAGAGTTCCCACTGAATAGATTTCATCTTGTCTAGATGGGTCTGGTGAAAAGAGATGGGGTTAAGATTCAATAGTGAATAATTGTTATCATGACTAATTGGAACTGTCACAATTACAAAGGTAAAACAGGGGTATAGTTAATCTTACAGTCCAGAAACAGAGGATCCTAGGGCCATCAAGGGAGAAGAGCACAAGCAGAAAGTGGGCCCTTCTCCAGAGAAGCAGCGACACCAGAGATGGTGGCAGAGATGGGGACATGGAGAGAGGGAGCAGCTGAGGACTCTAGATTCACGGGAAGAGAGGGACTAAGAACTGGTGGCCAGGAGGCAGACTTGTAGAATGTGCCCTTTGGAGATGTAAATTATTATATATGCCTGAGTGGTTTGGTTTTTTGTGTGTTTTTGGGTTTTTTTTAAAAGCTAGAGTGTATAGAGAGAAATAATGTTAATTGAAGGTACATGGAGGGGATTATAATCATTGCAATGAAATAAGGTGTATGATTTGTTGAAAGTAAAACTGATGATCTGTCCTGTAAACTTTCACTCAATCCATATTAAAAAAAAAAAAAGATACAAGACAAAAAAATTGTGAAATAGAGTTTATCACTGTGAAGCACAGTCTCTCTGTGTAGTCTCCCTGTGAGGTACAGTCTCCCTGTGAAGTACAGTCTCCCTGTGAGGTACAGTCTCCCTATGACGTACACAGTCTCCCTGTGAGGTACAGTCTCCCTGTGAAGTACAGTCTCCCTGTGAGGTACAGTCTCCCTATGACGTACACAGTCTCCCTGTGAAGTACAGGCTCCCTGTGAAGTACACAGTCTCCCTGTGAAGTACACAGTCTCCCTGTGAGGTACACAGTCTCCCTGTGAGGTACACAGTCTCCCTGTGAAGTACAGTCTCCCTGTGAGGTATACAGTCTCCCTGTGAGGTATACAGTCTCCCTGTGAAG